AACATAATTTTATTTTGGATTTTACAGCGTTATAAAGGGGTGTTTCGAAAAGCCGGCCGTATACAGCTCTAACTAGAGACTTTTTTGAATGATTACAATTACTACTATAATTGACCAGCCAATGACGTCGCATATTCATTTGTCGCCTAACAGAAAAGTATCAAAAAACCCATCCCACAGAACCATAGATCAAAGTTTCTTTTACGTTTCCAACACGACCTCAGAACTCCTTACGAAATGGAAAAAATAATTGCAACTAAACAACGAACAGACCTTCAAAAACGCGTATCGTGTGTCAAACACAGCTTATTCTCGTTGCCAGCATAGTTATAAGACCTAATCAAATACTAAATGCACTTTGAGATCTCCCAGACCAAACTTCCAATTAATAACTGAAAGTATAGTGGATGATCTCTTTCTAGTGGAGAAACGCATCTATAAAAATGATTACTGGTGACGGAAAAGTACCCATGACGGTAACAAACAACGGATAAATACCAGCGACAGTCAGCTTCAATCGCGCCTTGAGTTGACCTAGCTCTTACAATCTCTTGAGCAAAGCTGTAGAATTGATACCAGATTAGTTGGGATAAATATAAATTTCGGACTCGTTAGACCAACAACGTGAGCGATCTGATAGTCGAATCTGCACTGATTAACATAAGATCGTTGCATTGTAACGGTGAGACCTTCTTCCAAACCCCTAATCAAGAATGCCACGGACCACAGTTAAAGGAACAACATGTAGCCACATGGAGGTTTCCGCAGTTCCCTATAAGTAATTGTGTTAATACATAACTATTAGTGAAAGGATAAAGAATGGTGCTCTCGGCGTTGATCAATGGAGGATGAGTGTTATTTTGAGAGTTAAACAAGAACATTAAAAACATGGGACGCTTAGTACGAGAACATTAAACATACATTGGATAATAGAGAAGTGATAAAATCTATTGATACTCCGAAAAAGACTATTTCATAGGCCGAGAGTCACATTGGGAAGGGGAGACTATGTGAAAACTTCTGAAATGGCCGGTATGACATCCATAGGGTCACGATGAGACAGCGCAAGGTTGAAAATGTCCACTCCGCAATGATACCAAAATTAGATGTCAATGTAACAGTGTTGAGCAGATATGAATTCATACCTTTGTCTTTGAAATTATAACTTTGATTGTCTTATTCAAATGGAAAACGACGAAGGTTTTCAATAATTTTTGTTATCAAACAGGGTTTTGTGGAGAGTACTCACAAAGAATCGCTTAAATAGTTGTGTAAGTGTATCATTTTGATCACTGATAAAAAGATTGATGCACAGACGTCTTCTGCGTTGAAGAAGTCGATGTCAATTGCCTGACCGACGAAAGAACTCACGTAGTTCGCTGACGGCATCGCCAAATTTTATGGTCTCCAGCATTCAATTCGATAGTCTGTTCTGTAAATTCTTTCCCTTTCTTCTTGCATCCACCAGCAAGTTAACAACAGAAACAAGTACTGCATGTTATCCTAACAAGGCGCAAAAATTTCAGAATTGCTGAGAATGTGTTGTCGAGTGGTTGATAACCGTGTAAAGCTATAAAAATGTGCAGCCGCTATATACATTCTGTCCAGAAAGCAAGGAAACAGTTTCAGCTGTATGACATTGGTCATATCGAGCAAGAGGTTGGATTTTATGTCCTCAACTTTGCAAATTCATGCATCAATGCACTTTTCTGAATAACTAATGATTACTTGAGTTAGTGGTACCTTCCAGGTAATATAAGTGCTGTGAGACAAGCGTAACCGGCTACATATTGACGACCCCAAAGATCTTCCGAGCGTACCCGAAATCGCACAAGAAATAGAGAAATGTCAGTCGCTTGGACGGCAAACTCGATCGGCCAACAGAAATGATATTTTCCGTCTGAATATGAGGCATGTAATTGATTGAACAAAAATTGTGAATTTCCCATCATAGTTTTCGATTCGTAATGGACTGAGCTCTGGTAATATAGAATAGTCCTATTTGTGAATAAAAGTATTCAAAAAGACTTCCTTGCGTTAGACGGCACGGGATGGAGAAACGACCACTCTCGCTGAAGAAAGACTTTTCATTTCATCTTTAATAACCATTCGAAAGCCCAAATCTCTTGGTAGTGCGCTACGAAGCCGTTTTCAAGGAAATCTTTTATAGCGCTTTAGCGAAAGGAAAACATTTGTGTTTCACATACGCATATTTCTCGCATGACAGAACTCTTTCCTCAGATTATAGGTAAACATCCGATGAAGTAAGCTTCCACAATTGCAACGCTGTGCTTATTTTCTAAAAAGGCGGTCTCACTGCAGTATAGCAGAGACATAAGGTCGAGTCTCACATAGGTGGGCGTTTGTTTTTGGGATTTTGTGTGAGCTGGGAGAAAGGAGATGCCTATTTCAATCAACAGATCGGCCGATTGTAACGCGCTACAGATGTCGCGTGCAATCTTTGTTTTTTGATTATAAATTTTTTTCTCCACTTTCGATAAAGCTCTTCTTGAAACGTATAATTCTGATACCAAAGATTTCCTCTACACGTTCATATGCTTCTCTGCTTCTAGCAAAGTTATAGTTTAAACGAGCGGACGTGTGAAACATTATTTATTTTGAGTGATACAGCGTTATAAATGAGCCTTTTAGAAAAGGGGGCATATAGTGCGGTAGCCGCAGAGTTAAGCTTTTGAATGTTACTAAAGCTATTATGAAAGTTCTTGTCTAGCGGAAGGGTCTTTGCATCATCTCGTGCCGTCTTACGAAAAAAAGCCAAAAAAAAATGCAGTAGAAGGTACGAAAACAATTTCTTAGTGGTAGGAGTTTCGCTAAGTTTTGTAGATTTATGAAGATAATACAAATGTTATACTACTCAAGTTAGTTACAAATTTCGCACAAGATGAACTATCACATTATAAGTAAAATGTTACCACGCAAGGCATTATATGAGCACGTCGTGCGTGCACAATCCCGTCCCTCGTGAGCTAGATTTTTGTAAATACGAAACAATATCTGCTTCCGACACGTTTAGAAATTCCATAAATCATTCAATTTGATACTGTTTTAAGGATATGATAGCAATTGGCAATTCTAGCCCTTTGAATCCTCGATCTCTACGATCTACGATTGTCTCTGCGTTTTTTTTCAAATCCAACATTGAATTTGATTTTTTTTCCACTCAGCAAGAATTATAAAGTAATTTGACGCTCAAAGTCTCGGTATATTTTGAAAAATCAAAGATCGAAAAATATGCAATCCATTCTTCCAAGTTTTTTCATACGAGAGTTGGCAACACCGTGTTTCGCGTGGATCCATGTTTAACCAATATACACTTGACTACCATCTCGTTGGATTGCCTTAGGTTCAGTCTTGCACCAACAGGAACGACTTCAGCAAAGATCCCTATTTTTAAGCAGCGTAACAAGGTGTCCGTCACTATACCCTATTAGGAAAATCACTATTTCACGACTGACCTATGGCTGGTACCGTATTGAAAAAGTTATTATGAAAGATTTTATAGGAAAACGCAATGATGTGTGTTCAGCAGTGGTTAGAAGTGATTTACAATGCATAACATAATGAACTGACCAATAGTTTGTTCGCGTTGCTCAACAAGACTTCAACTCCAGTGGGATCAGCCAACTGGCATTGGACTTGTTTGCGAGGATAAAAACAAAGACTTGTTGTAACGGAAAGCCAGTGAAAGTTTTGTATAAGCTAAATCTGCATTTCATTAACCCTGCGGTGTTTGATAAAGTCGGGTGTATACCACATTCTCGTTGAATGATTAACGCCGGAAGCTTCGTTGTTATCATCTTGTTGAAAGAATACATTGATGCTCCTCAGAATCTCTAGAAAACGGAGCCAACTTTGCAGCTCTGACACACTACTTTGACGAATTAATGTACATTTGTGCCTGTTTGAATCATATGACAATCAATTTCAATAGTGCTGTACTCGAATATATTGAATATGCCTTACCTTACCCGCCGTACAAGCTGAAGTCTGTCCTTCAGTATTGCCGTTGGTACATGTCGCATCATCAGGTAAATAAACTGTATACTCGATCCATATGCTTTTATAGTCGAAAGTCGCTACCGTAATCTGGAAAAGCATTGGATTCGATTTTAACACTAAATAGATCAATACGAAATTAGCGCCTTGTGAAAATCTGCACATCAAAAATTTTCCTACACGGACTCACCAATACACATCAGACATACAACTTTGACTGAATCTTCATCAGGAAGTTCAAATAGTTGAGTTTCAGGCAGGTTTGGAGGAACCTGAAGAAATGTGGAACGTTGTAAAAGCTATCAATCGGCAACCTTATTAGCGTCACATGTATAAGTTATAGCCTTAGGCTTATTTATGAGAAAACTCGTCTCCGACTTGTGATTCAAATGGGTCGCAAACCTAAGATTATTTTGTGATATGCAAAACCCTGAACCTCAGACGGGAGTTGAACTCGAGTCTCATACTCAGCTTATTGCTGACAGCTTTGATGCCTTTTATCGCAGCAAGAGTGGAAGGAGAGCAACGGATTTGGTATACTGGTATTAGACGCTCCCGCTATGGCCCAAACACGGGTACAACACCACCCAAAGATTCAGTTTTGCATATCACTCACCATCCTCAAATACATTAACATAACGCCATAAGACATCCATAATAGCTATTAAAGAGGTGAACAAAAAGTTCTTGCTCTCAGATCTCCTTTTTCAAAATCGATCAACACTAGATATTACTATACAGCAGCAAAAGAGTATTAGCATGTAAATAAGTCGAAGTTGAATATAAGTTACCGCATCATGTGCAATTCGCCACCCATCAATGAAAATATAACCTGTTAGTGAATATGTGGGATTCTATTTCCTTTTCTAAAATAATACATGCATTTCCTCTTCTTCTTCTTCTTCTTATTTGGATATAGACCTCCTTTTTTCGCCGGCCCTGCTTTACATAAAAACTCAAAGGAAACATATTTTTCGTGTAAGGCCTTGGTGGTGTAGTGGTAGCATGCGCTCTCGGTAAGGATGAAACGTGGGTTCAGCTTCCGCCTGAGGTAGTGAACTTTTGCGTATCACTCACTTTTGTTGGATGAATGTCTTTGTGTAAGATATTGCGCTCAGAGAAAGTTTTTCAGAAGCTACATCTGACACAATCTCTGTTGAATGAGCAACCGATTTTTTGCAAAAACCAACCGGCAATACAAAGCTCTTGGCGGGAAGAGAAATATACAGCCGGAACGAGTACGCACTGAATCTAGACGATTTGCGGAGGCTTTTAGCATTCTGGTTTTTGTATGCACACTGCATACGCTTTGCGTTCCAGTGACACGTGGTCCGAGTGGCACGCCAACAAAAAAATGTCAAGCTACCGAGGTGGTTAATACACTTTACCTCTTTTGTTCAATTAAGTTTGCGTGTACGTATGAGATCACTTATGTGTTAAGATGACCACCATTTTACAACCGCGTCTGTGTGGAATCAGCTAACATTGTCCAATGTGCATTTAGCTGTATCACCTGTCGTCCCGTTGATCATCGAGTGATTCTTGCGGGCACCACTGAAACTTCCAATTTATCCTGACGCGTGCAAAATTAGCCCATTGAGTCCTCTTTGCTGGAGAAATTCGTCGAGCATCATTCTTTCTTTTAGTACTATATATTTTCGTGAAGAAATCGGACCATCGGGTTCGTAGCCTTCGTGTAGAGCGCTTCGTATCCTGAGGAATCCAATCGGTGACAACTCTCGTACCTCAGTTGTCGTTTTAACGCATTTCGTGCCTGGCCCACTTTATCCACGATAGCGTGGCTTGCAGAATGGCATTCTTATTTTGGCCGACACCCAAAAAAATTACAGGCATTCTCTCACAACTTTTTCGCCAACGTATTAACAATCTCGGTAAGGCTTCAAACATTTTTACGGACTATAATGATTGTTTATAGCATGGTTAGAAAACAGTCGATGAGGTGGATCGAATCAGCCAGCCCTTTCCTGCAAACTGAAATTCCTGCAAACTCGGTATATTCCCGCCGAACTTGTCTGGGAGGATAAAACGCCAAACTGATACTTTCTTGAGCATCATAAGCCATTTCATATGTCAAATATGCAACCAGTCACCACTACAATAATACATAGTCGATGAGCAAGCATTATATAATACATTCCTTACAAACTAATCACACCGAATGCTTTATCCTTTATCATTTATCAGAACGTTACTGCAGTGATGTTTTCAAAAACGGTGTGGTTCACTTTAATTACTACTTTGACCTAGGCCGACCGCTAAAAATGGGTGATGAATATGAAATGATGGGAGAATTGGGCAATGACGCCCCACCTCCACCACCCGTACCTCAACCACCACCATCCGTACCTCTGCCACCCGTAGGTCCACCACCACCACCCGTACGTCCACCACCACCACCATTCCCTCCAAATGCTCTCAAGAAGCAGCATTCAACCCCGGGCCCTAGGCCTGCACCACTTGCCAGTACGAAACCCGATAAAGCTGGCGCAGGAAAGAAAAAAAGTAGCAAAAAAGCAACCAACACTACGGGAGCGACGCAAGGTGCGACAAGGGGAGCGGGAGGATCAACTGAGGGGTGAGTTTTGCATCTTAAATTATAAACTGGTAGTACGAGATAGATGGAAATAAAGCTTCCACTGACTTATTAGGTCACTCAAAGCATTATCTTCGTCGTTCTCTAACAAGTGGAAAAAATTCAAGATATTGGAACGATTTTCGTTCTTTATCCAAGATTTATGCAAGACTGGATATATGATATCTATTCAGTCCTTGCTATTCTTGAATTACCCGCAGTCACATTCTGGTCATATTATGAGTACATAGAAAATCCTAGACTTCCTTGTTTTGTTACGGGTGTGTATGCCATGCTCACCTAAAACACTTTATTTTTCGTTCTGTTCACGTCGAACACAAATTTATCGTGTTTACCAGAAAACCTTCCTATTAGTTGCTTTGGTATCAAGATTGGTATGATGATAAACCATAACTCATAGCCTTCTATAATTTCGACAGTGTGATACGTGCTGATGTTTCATTAACGTCCGCATGGTGATCCATTTTGTGGTACTATATTGAAAAACTTTTGAGATTGGGATAGGAGGAAATCCAAGGAGCAAAGCACTCGACAATGCTTAACTTTTGTTCCTTTAGTGAATGAGTCTAAGCTATCAACAATGTCTATTACATCAAAAATGATGAAGTTTGCAGGAAATTAGTACATAAGAAATTGAAAATTTCGAAAGGAAAAAGCCACGGGAAAGCGGGTCATAAGTAAGTTGCCAAATCAGCATATTCCAGGATGCGCATCAGATCAAGAACATTATTTATATTTCAGAGTGCAAAAAAGCAAGAAGAAAGGGACGTAGTTATATCAACAGTACAATTGACCAGTTATACATTCAAGATTTTTTTCGCATGCAAAAAATGAATGTCTGAAATCAATAAACTCTTTGTTGCTTAAATTTTAATTTTGCATGGAGATTATCGGACCATTTGCAATTGGATAAATACAATGTATCGCCGGCTAAAATTGTATCCTGTTCAAAGACCGATCCACTTGTAACTGTGTGAGTACGATAAGCCGTCATTTAAAAATGCGACGTTCAATTCAATGACTGAATTACCTGAAGCCTTTTAATCGCGTAGACAGTTTTTGCTTAGAACGTATAGCTTTATTTCCCCGAAGTAATCACTAGACTTTGGCCTAGTAGAAATGCGAAAATCTTACATGGAGAACACTGTGCCCATAATGTTTCATAGGAATCAATTACAAATCAAACGATTCGTGTCATGGGAAATCTGGCGATGATTTTATGCATCAAAGTTGAACAGTTTCTTATAAGAAGTTCTCGTGTCTAGCATAGTAAATGCAGGAGCACGTATTGGGTGTCCCATAAACTCTACCGCAATTCGACACTTGTTAACTCAGTTGTTATTTATCTGAGGAAATGAGTTAATCAACATCATAATCATCATTATAATCCCGCCGAGTTTCGGATCTGGACTATTGAGCAGCTGACAACAAATGTCGACTCTTTAGGCGGTTCGTGCTTCAATGAGTTCGCACTGATCTTGCGTGGCTTCTTGTGGACAAAGTAAAGCTGATGGAGATGAGTTAGCACAGTTGTATAAGGAACATCAAGTTTCGTTGCCAATTCGCGAGCACTTGACGACGATTCATCTTCCAAAGCAGCAATAAAATCTTCTTTGTTCAACTTTGTTGGGAGTCCTGAACAAGGCTTGTCTTTGAGGTTAAGATCTGCGGCACTGAGAACCTTTGATATCAGCGTCCAGTAATAGAATTCCTTATTGTGCCTTCCTTTTCAGCTTCGTCGATTTCATCGACTGCAGCTCGCTGTGAAGAACCCTTTCTCCAATAATGACGCAATAATACCACAAACTTCGATTCGACTGCATTGTAGGACATGGCGGAGGCTTGCTACAAAATGAAGACGATGACGAATAATATCTAGGTCTTCAGTGAGAAAATTCCCAGAAGAAACTTCAATAATATGAATGGGAGTTATCTCGTGCTTAGTAAAGTGCCCCACAACCTTCTTTCCAGCCCTAGTATACTACTTTTTAGCTTGAAACAATAAAATCAGTTCTGGTATCTGAGAGGGCTAAAATTTGCGTTGTCGACAGAAAAAAGGAAATGTACACAAAATTTCAAGAAACTCACCAATATCATTCTATCGAAAGGTTGAGCTATTGACGTGAAATTGTCGTCCCACACTTGTAACACTACTCGATATTCACCTATTTTACTTTGAATACGATAGCCATTGTGGGTTAGTCGTGGCTCGAATATCAACGATCGTTCATTCAAAAGAGTGATTCGGCAAACAACATACTCATCACGATCGTTGTAATCTCTGGAAATTACTGAACCAGTTATACTCTCTTATGGCATGCTCACCACAACGCTTTCTTCGATTTTTACAGCGTCTGAAAGAGAAGAACCAGGCAGCTGAATTGAACAGCAGCAGTTGACACTTTGCTCCCGACCAGATCTCTAAACGGTAGCGTCGAAATCTTTGTCGAATCCGAAATGGTTTGGTTGGGAATGTTTAGGACTCTGTTGCAAACAAAGCTTTGCTGCAACCACGAGTCGTCATAGGGTAGAACATCATTTGAGGGCAGATAGAGCCGTAGAACGAATATGAAAAATCAAACTTACTCGTTTTGAGCGCTGACTTGATCAGTGTGAAGTGGTACCTTCTGTTGCCATTGTAATTTTAATTCATCAACTGTGTGACTCGTGAACATTCCCGCAACACCCCCTTCTACAATGTTGTCCAGATTGTTAAAATCCTTTTTTATGAGAGTTACTCTGGAAATTTTTATTGTTACCGAAAATTCTTCCTCTCTCTTTCTCTTTCACTTACTCGCTCCCTCACTCACACACTCATTCTCTCTCTCTCTCTCTCTCTCTCTCTTTCTTTCTTTCTCTTTTCTCTCGCGAGAATGAAGTAAAATTTAAGAGGGATTAAAATCTGTAGGTTATCGTAATTTACACAGATTTTATTTGAATGCTTGAACATACTTGAATCTCATCATTGTCACCGATCCGACAAAATCGAACACACTACCTGATTCCATCTGGAGAACATAAAAAATTTGCAAGAGGTACGATAAAATCACAGCAGAATAGAAAAAAAAGTGTTTTGTATCGGTGTGATCAGTCGTAAGTGCATGGTCAATGTAAGATTTTTTGTGTTCGTTTGGAACATATATAAACAACCAGAGAATACGACCACAAAGCAGTAGGTGTTGATATCTAAATTGAACAAAAATTCATGAGGTGATGAGAGCTTCTAATAAGGTAACGGAAAAACCAACGAATCGACTAAGAGAAATTATAGGGTGCTGTTTTCCTCTTCAATATGATATAATTAATCATTGACATTAAAAAGTGATTATGATTTAAAAGCGATTAGTCCATAAAAAGGAGTCATCAGATTGTTTGTTATGCAACAATATCAGCAATATATATATATATATATATATATATATATATATATATATATGAGC